CGCCCGGACCCAGCAGGTGCTGCATTAGTGCAGCCTCTGCCATGTAAACAGCACTCAGGGAAACGGGGAAAGGCAGCAGCATCCCGTCCTTAACACATCCTCCAGCTACACAACACCCCCCAAAGTCGAGCTAGGCACCCCGTTCAGACTATGGGTGCGCACCCGTAGCAGGGAAGGGTGCAGAAGAGCAGCACCAGCTCTGCAGCAGTGAAGGAGACAATGTGTAGCATACCGCCCTGCCCACAGCACCCTATAATGTCCAGAAAGTCCCCATTTCCCTGCACCCATCGCCCATATGGCTGCCTTTGCATGAGGATGGCGGTGCTCTGAGCCTTCCTTCTCAGCACACACAGCAACTGAGACCGAAGGGCAAAATGAGTCGCATTTAAATCCTATTTGTCTGTTTGCACTCGCAGGTTTGCAGCCTACCCAGAGATCACTTGTTAAAGCATTTAAAAATGGAAAAAAAAAAAGGCCCTGCCTTCCATCAGGCTGCGATGGGAGCCTCCATGTGCTCTTACCAAGATATGCATATTTTAAAAGCGTGGCAGGAAGAGGGCTCCAAACTACACAATTAAACAGATTTCACGCAGAAGGCTCTTCATACACAGCGACCACTGCAAGAGCCCCTTTCCCTGCGCTACAGCTCTGCCAGGAGAGACCCCTTCGCAGCCGACCAGCTCCGGGTGGCTCCTTCCCTTCTGCTGGGGAAGCTGCTTCTCTGCCCTTTGCCTCCACTTAACTGTCCAAAAACTGGGGATCAAAAACAAAAAAAACACTTATTTTGTCAGGCAATGGAGCAGGAACAATTGCCTGGGAAGAAATTTAACCCTCCTGGAAGAAAGAGATATCCCCAGCCCTTGTTTGTGTCCACAGGCGGGGTGGGATGGATACTGCGCTGCTCCTCGGGCCACCCCAAGCACCTGAAGGGCATCTATTGTGCTGGAGAACGAGAGAACTTTTTTAGAAGAGTTCGGGCCTGCAAACACACAAAACAAGGGCAAATAAGCAGGAGAAAAAGGTGATGACAGTGTCAAAGTACCAAGCAGAGGGGCCAGGGTTGGGGTTGCTGCATCCCCCTGTACCAAGGATGTGTTTCGAGGTGGCATCCAGGACAGGGCATGGGAACAGGTCCTAAAATACAAACAGGGGGAAAGGGAAAGGAGCCTGGGAAAGGAGGTAGGAGGCTGTACAAGGCCCTATATCACCTAGTGGCCCTATATAAACTGAACACATAAAGCACCCGGGCAGGCAGCTACGGCCTCCCAGGGCTGCATCCCCAGGGCAGGAGCTCCCTGCTCCTGTCCTTGCTCCCATCCTTTGGCATCAGCAGTGTCACTTAGGCTCGCAGATGACAGGTATGAAGGACAGGGGAGGAGGAGGACATTTCGGAGAGCATCCCTGCCACACCGCACATGCAGACGACAAGCTGAGGAGTCCACGCCAGGGACTACCTTAGGGACGTAGCCTTTCCCCTGCTTGCTTTATGTGTGATCTGAAATGTCAGCCAGCAGCTTTCAGTAATGCACTTTCCTCCATTTAATGTAATAAGCTGAGTCTAGGCAAGCCCTTCTCCTTGCCTTGGGAAGGCTTTGCAGCAGGCTGCCAGACAACAGGCAGGCAGCTCCGCTAATACTAATCTCCTGACGCTGCCCCCTCTAAGCACATTAGAAACAGCCAAGTCCAACATGCTGCAAAGGCTGAAGCTCATCTTTAACTCCCGAGTGACTGTTAAAACAGTCCTAAGTCCTAATAGGAGGCACATTGCAGGAGAGCAAAGTAAGTTAAATAAGCAGCCGGCTGCAAAGAGAGCAATCTTTCAGCAATCTCTCCAATTCCTGGCACAACACACGCAGCAGCCAGTTTAAGAGAAGCCGTCAGACCGTGCAGCAACAGAAAGCATTTATCTTGCTGAACGGTACCTAACGAGACAGCGCGGAGGGAAGAGGCAGACAGAAATGGGGCAGAGCATCAAAAGGATATCCCTGGTTTTCCACTTCAATTTTTTGGGTGTATCTTAAAGACAGAGCAGCAGTGCTTTTGTATTTTTCAGCAATACCGTTTGGTACTGGAGCAAAACTGCCTTTTACCCCAGTGGATGCAGAGGTTTCCTTGCCACCTCTCCCATACAGCATCTTTTACCGTCAATAAAATCTGTTTGAAATTATTCTGCCCCTACAAAATAAGGTAGGGAGTAGTCAGGAAAGCAAACTCACAATCTGCAAGGTTTCTGCTTATTTTAGATGGCAGAGAAACCGAAAATTGTACTGTGCTGTTTCCAGGAGAACATGTAGTTTCTGTAGCCTGTGCAGGTGTCACAGGGAAACCACAGACACAAAACTCATCTGCAAACTCTCCCGAGCGAGACTGTTTCCCCTGCTTTTAAATCAAATCCTCCTTTTAGGAATAGGCGCATGGAAAAGCTTTAATAACAATAAAAAGTGAGAGCTCATAGGCAGAAATGACATTTCAGCCTGCCTGCAGCCCAGGGAAAAGGCACGCTGGGGTGTTCCCAGTTATCCCAGACAAGGGATCCCAGTTATCCCAGACAAGGGATCCCAGTTATCCTGGACAAGGGATCCCAGGTTTGTTACCTCCCGCGACACTTGGGGCATCTCCCTAATGCGGATCATTTGGTAGATCCTCAGCTGGTGAAAACTCCAAGCTACAATAAAGCCGTCACATACCATCAGCTAAGAAGCTACTCTGATGGTTTTCCTGGTTATAGGGGTTTTATTAACGGGGCTAAGGCAAGACTAAGGGACAGTGCTACAAACTGTCCTGATCCTTCTAAGCCTGGGTAAAATCCCAGCTAAACTCCAATTTTGGCGTGGCCAGCATCTCTCAGGACAAATCCCCCTTTCCGCACACTTGGGAAAGGTGCGACTCACATAGGTTGGAGTCAAATCTCTCTTTGTCGTAAGAGATATTTAACTGCATCCCAGTGCAGTTCACTACCTCAAAGGAATCTGGTTTTATTTAACCCAAAACCCAGCAAAACCGAGCAGAGCTGGAGCCCAGGCACTCGAGGCTGAGCAGCCAGGCCCTGCCTTCAGCCTGCTTCGATGGCAGGGGCCGGATGGAAACATTAAACCGCTGCAAACAACCCTTTTAGCACAGAATTGGAGAAATCCAGCCACAAAAAAAAGCAGCAGGGTTTTCCTCCTTCGCATAGGACTAAAAAGCAAAGTGAAAAGCAAATATAAGCAGCGGAGCTATAGGATGTTATCCCACTTTACCTAACGTGCACAAAATACCTGAGAGCAGCAGGGTAAGCTGAAAAATAAAACTCAGTAGTGGAAAACACAAGGTTTGTCCCAAAAAAGCAACGTTACCTTACGACATATTAAACTCTACCCCGTGCAAAGCTCACCTGATCCCATCAGATGTCCCGTGGCCCCTGGTGCACACGTAAAGATGAAGCCGGTGTATTTTCCCCGGCGGGGTTTTGGTTACTTTTCAATCCTGCTCTTTATAGACATGTCCCCCTCGTTTCAAAAAGCCGCCGGGGTTTTTCAGCCGAGCTTTCCCGCTGGCTGCTCGGTGCCATTTTGCACCGGGTTTGGGGAAATGGCCGGGTTTCATGCGGCGCAGGGGGAGCGCGGGGTCGTTCTCGGCGAAGCGGGCGCTCGTGTTTGCAGGATGAGAGACTCCATCCCCAAATTTGACTGCCAAGGTGTGAGCTCCTCTGCGAGGGAGAGGTGGGTTTGTGGTGTGCTTATTGCCTACGGGCGCTTTATTCGGCACAGGGGAAGCCGCGGGGGGGGACGTGGCCCGGGAAGGGGGTGCCGGGATGGGGTGACATAGCAGGGCAGAGCCACGGTGTCCTGCGGGACGACGGGGCTGGAACCATCTGGAAAGGGTTTTTGCGGGAAGAGCGAGGACCAAGGGGGATGGGAGAAGGGATGCCATGACAACCTTTGGGGGTTTCCCAGGAAACCAGGGTCACCATGGCAACTGCATCACTCCGGTGCGAATTAGTGACTTCCGCGGGAAGGCGTGTTCGCCACTTTAATCTTCTTGCGATAAGTGGCTGCATATCTCCCAAACACATTGCAAAAAAAAGAGGAAATATCCCTTTGTCTCCAGCTGGGTGGGTTTGAGGCTGCACAGCCACGGCGAGGAGCCCGTCACGGATCCTGCATCCCCCGGTCCACGCCAGCATCGCTCCCCGCACACCGTCAGCTCCTGAAACTGTTCCATTTTGCCTTTCGCCTCCCTCCTCCCCACACACAGACCTGCCGCACGGCCACAAATTTGACGTTGGATGAAATAATACCATAGGGTTGCAGGGGAAGGGAATTAAGACTAGAAAACGAGGGTTGGGGTTTTTTTCTATTTAAATCAGCATTGATTGCACTCGGTCTCTGACCAGATTAGAATTTCATAAATGATCTAACGGGGGAGAAAAGGGAATCTGTGATGTGCCCCTAATGGCACACCACATGTTTCAATATTAAGCATCATTTAACAATGTGGTAACAGAGACTCTGCAAAATTAAACGGTTATTTCCTCCCAACCCCCTTCCAGTATGCTCTGCAACATGTTTTCCTCGTCTCCCCACCCAATCCGGGGTTGTTAATCCAACAAGTGAGCTTATGTGATGGAAGGGAAATCGGCGACAGGCTGCCTCTAGGGAAGGGGGGGGGGGGGTTCAGGAGCAAAGCGAGAGGTCCCCAAAAACAAGAAAACAAAAGCAGCCCCGCAACACGTTGCAGAACAAACACCTGTTTCGACGGTGAGTGTGTTTTGTCTTCCTCTTCCTTCTCTTTACCCTTTAGCCGTCCTCTTCTTCAGAGAATTTTAAATCCTTATTTTTTGGATCTTTAGAAAGGAAGGATCTAAAAAAATAAATGTATAAAAATGAGGGCACACACAGACCGACGATGGTGCATGTTCCACACAATACCGAGTACACAGTCACTTTGCATTATTATTGTTATTATTATTTTTTTACCGCATCCGCAGATTTTGTTGCTGTTTGTTTGGTTTTGTTTTTTTAAACATCCGTAAAGATCTTTTTGATGTTCACACAGTTGGGATTGTTTGTGGTTGTGCAGTTGCCTGTCTTAAAGGCAGCCTGTTTGAATGCACTGTGGTTGATTCCCCCTTCCTCGATCACCATGTACTCGGACTTGCTGAGGGTGGAATTGCTGCGAGCCTTCCTCATCTCCTCGCTGGACGAGAGGTGCTGGCAGCTCCCGACGTGCATGTATTGGGCTTGCTCCTCACCTTCTGTCTCCCGGTGGTAGAAATAGTTGAAATTGGAGACTATCACGGGCACGGGGAGAGCGATGGTTAGCACCCCTGCGATGGCACAGAGAGACCCCACAATCTTGCCCCCAATGGTGATGGGGTGCATGTCCCCATAGCCCACTGTGGTCATGGTCACCACCGCCCACCAGAAGGCATCAGGGATGCTACTGAAACCTGAACTGGGGTCATCGGCTTCTGCGAAGTAGACGGCGCTGGAGAAGAGGATGACGCCGATGAAGAGGAAGAAGATGAGCAAACCCAGCTCCCGCATGCTGGCCTTGAGGGTCTGCCCCAGGATCTGCAGCCCCTTGGAGTGCCGGGAGAGCTTGAAGATACGGAAGACCCTGACCAGCCGGATGACTCTGAGGATGGCTAAGGACATGGCTTGCTGGCCGTTGCCTTGCCTCTCAGCCAGCTCGGTGCCCAGCGTGATGAAGTAGGGAATGATGGCCACAATGTCAATGATGTTCATGATGTTCTTGGAGAAGGTGGCCTTGCTGGGGCAGGCAAAGAAGCGGACCAGCAGCTCGAAGGAGAACCAGATGATGCACAAAGTCTCCACTACAAAGAAAGGGTCAGTGAAGGACGACACCATGGAAGCAGCCGAGGATGAGGAGTTGGTGAAGACATCAGGTGGGAGAGGGCCACCACCCGTCCCGAAGGTTCCACCAGTTCCCTCATAGTCGTGGTCATCCCTGAATTCAGGCAGGGTCTCCAGACAGAAGATGACAATAGAGATAAGGATGACCAGGACAGAGACTATGGCAATGCCTCGGGCTGGCCCAGAGCTCTCGGGGTACTCAAAGAGGAGCCACACTTGGCGTTGAAACTCCTTGTCGGGGAGTGGCCGCTGCTCCTCCCGAATGAAACCCTCATCCTCCCGAAACTTCTCCATGGCCTCCTCCCCTAGCTGGTAGAAGCGGATCTCCTCAGAGAAGATATCAATGGGGACGTTGACGGGTCGCCGGATGCGCCCACCCGACTGGTAGTAGTAGAGGATGGCATCGAAGCTGGGACGGTTACGGTCAAAAAAATACTCATTGCGGAGGGGGTCAAAGTAGCGCATCCTCTTGCGCGGGTCCCCCAGCAGTGTC